AGTCTACAGCAACAGAGGCTGCCAGAGTGTCTTAAGCAAGACTATTATTTGTTAAGGCAAAAGGATGTTACAAAATGATGAACTTCTACTCCTTATTCCACAAAAACGACACTTACTCATAAGACTGGTGCTATTTTTGTCTTGCCAGAGCAGGATGAGGAACACGCACCCTGTTTCTGAAGGCCTTCCCCTCTAACAAAGGGAAAAGATAAGCCAAGGATGCACCGGGGCTGTTGTATCGGTGCTTGCCTGCCAATGTGATTAGTAGTGTTAACCACAGTTTTTTAAACACAAACCAGGTAAAAAGAAACAAGAAAGCAGTTACACCACTCATTTTGAATGTGGAGTAGTCACACTGAGGAAGAAAGGGCTGAACAGTGAGCAGTTCCCAAGGAAGCCCCTGAAGCTGTGAGAGCCTGCCGGAGCCACACAGGGCGAGCAGCCAAGCCCCAGCAAGGCTGAGCCTGCTCCTGCTCGGCTCACCCACCCCCCATTCACCTCTCCCCAAGCGCTGGGCACAGACACGAGCGCACAGCGCTGCAACAACGGGGGAGCCACCAAACCCTCCGCTGCCAGCGGCTCTCCCGGCTCCTTCCAGCCCCGCAGCCGCCGCCCCTCGGGCATCCCCCGGGCAGCCGCAGCCCCGGGCCGCGAGCGGGACCCCGCAGTGACGGCGCGGGAGCCGCGGCAGCCCCGGGCCCAGCCCAGCCCAGCCCGGCCCCGGCTCCGCACCGCCGCCCCTCCGCCCCTCCGCGGCACCACCCGGCTCCCCGGGCCCGCAGCCTCACCGTGGTCCTGGTTGAAGCCGGCGTAGAGCAGCCCGTTACCGTGCGGGTTGGCCGGGAGCAGGTTCATGGCTCCGGTTCGGCCCCTTCGCCCCCGCCCCTCACACCATGGCGGCGCCCGCCCGCCTCAGCCCCGCCGCGGGAGCCCGAACCGAGCCGGGCCGAGTTACGCCCGCCCGAGTCGGGCCCAGTCCAGCGAGCCCGCCGGAGCCGAGCCGGACCGAGCCCGGCCGGGCCGAGCCGAGCCGAACCCGCCCGAGCCGGGCTGAGCGGAGCCGAGTCCGGCCGAGTCCCGCCGGGCCGAGGCGGACAGGCCGGCGGCTGCTTCCGCCTGCCCGGCACCGCTGCCGAGCGCAGAGCACATCCACCCGCCGGCGGGAGGAGCGCCGAGTAATCGAGCGTCGCGGGAATGGCGGCGGGAGCGCCGGGAATGGACCGGGACTGAGCGCCGGGAGTGACTGAGACCGATCGGGACTGACCGGGACTGAGCGCCGGGAGTGGCCGAGACTGACTGCCCGGACCGACCGGGGTGAACCAGGATTGACCGCCGTACCGGAGGGCAGGATGGGTGGCCCGGGCCCCTCCCACCTCCAAAGGACTGTCTGGTACAAGTTTTCACATCACACTAAGTGAAAACGCAGGAGCTGCGGTTGGAACGCGCTAAAATAGGGATTTACTGATTTGACAAAACCAAAGCAACCCCCAAACCCTACCACCAACACCACTGATACGTCTTGAAAACGTGGAAGTTCTCGGGACCCAAGGTCCTGAGCACCCTAACTGGACTTAAATAGTGATTTTACTTCGAGCAAGATGATGGGCCCTTCCCAGGCGGGTTATTCCGAGCCTGTGTGGTGAGCTGGAGCCCAGGCTGTGTGTGCCCACAGCAGCAGCAGCTGTTCCCCATCCCTCCTGTTCCTTCACCTCCTTTTCCGTGCTCGCTCTGTGCCTCCCGCTGCTGTCGCGTCTCGGGTTTGTGAGCAGCTCTGCTGGGAGGTGACCGCAGCTTTTCGGTGCAGCCCCGGAGCTCTGCACGGACCAGCCGCTACGGTATTCTTTGGGTACTCATATATACATATAAAATAGAATAATCACATTGCATCTTTATGAGATTTTGTTTCTTCAGGCAGCCAAGAGACTGGGTAATGTGAAATAACAAACCCTTTGCTTTTTTTTTTTAAAGCTTCTCCTGCCCAACTAGGGCCCCAGGCTTTACTTGATCCGTGTGGGATTGCTGCGGGAGCCAGGAGTGCTGCTCTAGCCTGTCCTTACCTTGTGTTTATCGTGGCTGGCAGGAGGAACAGACTCTGGCCTTAGGGACGGACACACATCCGCGGAAATGCTCCCTCCAGCCAGGCATTCCTCCTGCGTATCACACAAAGGGACCAGGCTGCTCACTGAGGAGGCCAAGGGTATAATTTGGAAGAAATGAACCAACGTAGCTGTGTGCATGGCACAGAGCCGCCCATGCTACACCCGGACAGGGCGGGCAGATATTAAAGTCTGGGTGTCTCCCATCCAGTTTAACCCCGCGGAGCTGCCGGGAGCTGCAGTCCGAACACCCCGACAGCTCCATCGCAGCATTTCCCGGAGCTCCTCGGCACACCCAGCCCGGAGGGCGGAGCCTGCTCGTACCCGGGGACAGAGCCCACGGGAATTCCTTCCACCGCACGGGGTTTGCGGGCTGGGCTTTCCCTGAGAGCAGACTTCTTCTGATGGCACTTTTCTTTAAACTCATGCACTGATTGCTCCAGGGCCGGCACTACTCTGGCACTTTCCTGGCCAGAATTTTTACACTCCCAGTGCTGATCCAGGAGGGACATCACAGACAACACAGTGGGGACGCTGATATGAAACTGCGATGAAGCTGCACCAAAGGATTGTTATTACTGAGGAGGAGGAGGAGTCACACAATCCCTTCACACATGAAAGACTTGGCTTGAGTTATCTTCCACACTTCAGGTAACAATTTTGTAGATAGATGTTGTATCAGAAGCCTCATATGACACTTAAAGGCTGAGTTCACATTCCTGGTATCTAATTCAGGTATGTTGTTCTTCAAATTCTTCTAAAGAAAGATAAGGCCAACCTTCCCCAGTTAAAGAAACCATTTCTAAAAAATCAGAAGAAATTATTTATTTTCCAGGAACACTCAATTTATTTATTTTTGAAATAGTGTTCTTCAAGTCGTGTTTCTTCTACCACAGTGTCTGTGGCATTTTTGTCCTAGAACTTTCTCATAGAGTGGTATGAAATGAAATTTATTCTTACAGGAAAGTATTTAGCCCACAAATTAATCCCCCAAAGTATTAAAAAACATACAAAACCATTTATCAAATTAATTACATACACTAAACCTTGTTGTGCATGTGCATAATAATTATAGATCCATTTTTAGCTTAGTGAAGTTTGTCCTTAAAAGTTACTGAGGGAACTTCACAAGGAATCCAAACGCACAATTGTAGCACTACAGAATTTATCACACTACTGGTACAATTTAACAATCATAAATACATTGTTAAGTATATTTAATACATTTTATTGTACTGAACACATTTTAATTGTGTTTAATATATATTCATTGTGTTTAATGCATTTTAAGTACCTCTGCCTGAATATGCAGACCCATAAGTCATTTTTATATTTTTAATAGTTTGAAAAAATTACAGGATTTTCTTTTACTTTTATTAGTAATTCACAGAGTTCATGGAATTAAGAGTTGAATCTAATGGTATTTATTCCCTGTATAAAACCACACAAAATAGTGAAACCAATGGTGTTGTGCACATCACAAACTAAAATGCAATATGAAAATCCAGTAGCAGAATGTCATGTCCTTTTGGTGGCATTGGATGTGTCATTCATCCCAAAACATAATTTCTGTGGTAAGCAAGCTCTAAAATAAGACTTCACGTTCTAATTTTTGTCAGTGTGGTACTTGAATGGAGTGTGCGCTGCATTAAACGGGAACCCGAGTGTTCGAGTCTGGAGGGCCACGAGGCACTTGTGCTGGGAGGGGAACAGTGTCAGACTCCCGTCACACCGGGAACTGGCCCCTCACAGCGGGAAAAGGCCTTCATAACACTGGGAACAGCCCCTCATAACACCGGGAGCAGCATCCCCTCACACCGGGAACAGCCCCTCATAACACCATTAACAGCTGCCCATCACACCGGGAGCACCTGTTCCCATAACATCGGGAACAGCCCCCCTTACACGGGAGTGGCCGCCCCTCACTGCAGGAGCAGCCACTCTTCACACCGGGAACAGCTTTCCATCACTGCAGGAACAAGCTCCTCTCACACCGAGAACAGCCTCCCCTCATAGCGGGAGCAGCCCTCCATGACTGCAGGAACTGTTCCCTCACAGCGGGAAGAGCTGCCCCTCACACCGGGAGCCCTCCATCACTGCAGGAACAAGCTCCCCTCACACCGAGAACAGCCTCCCCTCATAGCAGGAGCAGCCCTCCATCACTGCAGGAACTGTTCCCTCACAGCGGGAGCAGCCTCCCCTCACACCGGGAGCCCTCCATCACTGTAGGAAAAAGCCCCCCTTACACCGGGAGCAGCCTCCCCTCACGCCGGGAGCCCTCCATCACTGTAGGAACCAGTCCCCTGCACACCGGGAGCAGCCTCCTCTCACACCGGGAGCCCTCCATCACTGTAGGAACCAGCCCCCCTGCACACCGGGCGCAGCCCCCCTCACGCCGGGCCCCGGGGGTGCCGCTCAGCCGGGCTGTGCCCGCAGGTCCCGTCCCGTAGCCCGGCCGGGATCTCCCCGTCCTCACGGCCCTGTCCCGCACCGCAGGAATTTCCGCAGGGATCCCCGCCTGGCTCATCCTCCTCCCCGCACCCCACCCGGCCGATTAGCGGATTTAATCACATCCCTTCGGATTTCACACCAAATGCCCCCGTTACAGCGCCTGTGGCCATTCCTGGGGCTGCCTTCAGCTTCCCTCTAGCGGATCGGCCTAAAACCGCTCTTCCGCAGGCGATCCCGAGCTTTAGAGCGGCTCCAAACTACAAATACCAGCAGCTCCAGCACCGCCGAGAGGCCCCAGGACCCACCTCTCCTAGAATTAACCTCTCCAGTTTATTGTAGCAAATATTTATAAAAAAAATTATTTTTCATGTGTAGCTATAAAAGCAAAGCATTTTGAAACATTGTCTCTGGCTGAGCTATTTTTATAGCTGTGCTCTTTAAATTTTTTTTCCTGTGGTGGGTGGCCCTTCCTACCTCATCGCAGAGTGACAGTGGCTGAAGGACCCAGACCTTTAATCCTGTTTCGCAGCAGGTTTAGCAGAGGAGCGGCTGCAGCAGCCTGGAAATGACCATGGAGAAGATCCTGAAGGCAGAACTGAACACCAACCTGCTGAAGGCACTGGGGAGCTCTGGGGGAGGATGCATCAGCCAAGGCCAAACGTATGAGACAGACAGAGGACGGGTATTTGTGAAAATCAACCACAAACCTCAGGTCAATGCCAGCAGATCTTATGATTGCATAGAGATAGCTCTATGATTGCATAGAGATAGCTTTTTATTTTAAAAGCAGCTGATCGTTAATAATACATAATTATTGCAGTTCTGAGTTTTCTTTTTAAAGCTGTGTCTATTTTATATCCAGAATGAATGGAGCAGGTTTGGTTGGTGTGAAATGCAGTGTAATGCAATCTGATAACCCTCAACAGCAGGAATGAGCTGTAATTCCTGTAAAAAGGAGGCCAAGCACAAAGCTCTTACTGTGGTACTTGGAGTTTGGAAAAGCCCAGAGCTGACTTTGCATTCACTGCATTCCTTTTCATGTTCCAGTTGGGAGGATTGATAATGGGAGGGCACAAACAGGGGCCAGTGCTAAAACTTGCTATTATCTTTAAAGCTACAGAAATTTCAAACGTCCCCATTGCTTTTGACATTTCTAAAAGTAAAACTCTTGCAGCTTCTCAAGCCAAACTCTTGACTTCTCTACTACTAAATGAATACTCAATTGCTTTTCCTAACACCACAGTGCATCAGAAATTTGCTTTATCATATCAAAATCATGCTAAACTGCTGTGAAAAACAGCACCTTTGCTACAAAAATGCAGAGCACATGCTGAGTATTTGTGCTGTCATCTCCATCCCGTGGCCTGTGGGGAAAGAAGAACCAATTTAAGGGCTCAATGTTACCTCATTTAGCTGTGGCCACATTATCCTCAGAGGTGCTGTTGCATCCAGGTAGTTTGGGATCTTCATAAGCAGCTGGAAATCAGGGTGAAATGTGACATATCCTACAACCCTGGGATGAATTTAGGAAAAAGAAGAAGAATTAAGAGTTAAGGCCCTTAAGTCTTCCTATGTGGAATGAAGCCTTGCTGCAGCTCTCTCCTTTTACCAGGAGGAATTAACTCCTTGCCACTTTGTCAAAACTCTGTTTTTTCTAAAGTACTCATTGTAGACATCCATAGTTTAGCCCAAGGATATTCTTATTCCTTGACAGGCTAGAAAAATGTTTGAAGGGGAAATGGCAAGTTTGGAAGCCATTCAGAAAACCAACATTGTGAGAGTGCCTCAGCCCATCAAAGTGATTGACCTGCCTGGAGGAGGAGCCATGTTTGCCATGGAGTACCTAAAGATGAAGCACCTCAACAAGTATGTCCATGCAGCTCTTTACTGTGTTTTGGGACACATTATTTTAATGTTTTACAGTCAGCCAGGAAACTTCATGAGCAGAGTTGCTTTAGTCTGTGAGACAGAGCTTCTCTCTGTTGAGATCTGTGTTTCTCTGGGTACATATTAAAAATATATATGTATATATCTGTGTGTGTGTATGTATCTGTACATGTATGTACACACTCCTTGTCCATATTTTGCTTTTCCTGCACTAGAAATGCTGTCACAGCTCATTTGTGTGCTGCTCCACGTGTGCTGAGATGAATTTAATCACAGCTGAGTTTGGCTCATTGTTCTCTCACTGAGATTTTTCTTTTCCCAGCCCAACAGGTTTCTTTAACCTTACAGGCTACTTAGTTCTTACTTCTGCTTCTCTCTGTAGAATCTTCCAGTATGATTTAAGCCATGATTAAGTTAAGATAACATGAATCTGCATTTCATCTGTCAGCCAGCCTGAACGTGGAATTCAGGCGTCCTGTGTTGCTGAAAACAGATTTTCAGGAGCACTGCTGTGTTCCAGGCCTCCATCTGGGAGCAGTGTCATTCCTATGGCTCCTCTGGCAGCTGCTTGTCCCACCCATCTATTTTATTTGGGACAATAATGACAATTCCACAGCCTCCACAAACAGTTTATTCTAATCCACCCCCCTGTTCCTAGAAAGGATTTTCCAATGTCTAACCTTAGTCCTTCTGGTTGCAATTTTAAATCCATCATTTTCCCCCCATTCTGGGAATTGAGAAGAAATTAGTTTCTGTCCTTGAAACTCCTGTTAAGATACCTGTGGAATATTTAACTGGTTTTTAGTTGTCTAAAAACTAAACTAGATTCAATCCCTGCCTATGGCTTCTTTTCAGACTTACCTTTCAGCTGCTGTTCAGCTGACTTGGAAAGGTAAAGCCAACAGGAGATACCATGTTCTGTTCTCTGCTAATAGTGGGGCTGATAAGGAGGAGCACACCGTCCTCCTCCCTTTCTGCTCCTGTTTATACAACCTCGTGTTCTCTTTACCTTTCTTGCAAGAGCATTTAGTGTGTTTGTTGTATTATCTGTGTCTTCAGAGCTGTTGTCAAGTCATTTGCTCCCTGTTAGGTGCTTGTGAAATTGATTATGGTTCTCTGTTTGCCAAAAATAGCCTTGGTCGTATTTAATTGAGGGGTTTTTTTCTGTATAATATTTGTTCACTTGTTTCAGCTTCATTTTGGTTTATTCCATCCTACAGATACTCTTCAAAGCTGGGAGAGCAGATAGCAGAGCTTCATCTTCATAACCAGAAGCTTGGAGAGAAGCTGAGGGCTGAGGGAAGCACAATTGGTAAAGCATTCATGTAATGTACTAAACCAAAAAGGAACCAATTCCTTTGGCTGTGGTGCAGCATTGCTTTCAACTTTCCCAAGTCAAACTGACAATTTGGACTCTTCTTCACTGTCATGCACTCTCTTAAAATGTTCTTGAGCTTACAGAAATCCCTTCCTTTGCTTGCTGTTGGTTTAGATGATCAGCTGATTACAGATTATTGTCCTTTGGGAAATGCAGAATTAAGTTCCCCTTTAAAGATGTTGGGGATGACATTTTTGAACTCAAATAAGTAGCAAAATATTCAAAAATTGCTGCTCCTCAAAGTGAATTAAAGCATGAATGAAAAGAAAAATCGGTTACATAAAGAATTATTTTTTGAGTTGGTGCTGTTAAAATCTGAAGTGCCAGTCTGTATCTGTGTTGTTCCCATGACTTCAGAGTGGGCTGGGTCTGACTCTTAGTGGTGGACAAATCATAATCCATTATTTTGGAGTGAATGTCAAATTACTGGCAGGTCCCAAATAATCTGTGAATCAAACCCAAGCTACATTTAATGGCAGCATGTCCAAGTGCCAGAAGAGCAGATTGTGATTCTGTATTTCCTGAATATCCAACTCCTTCATCCAAAGCAAACTCACTGTCTGTGACTCACTATGTCTCCATTTCCAGCATCTTCAAGTCCAAAAGATTTCTTTCCAGCTTTAGAAAGGATAGTGACCATGAAACAAGTGTAATTCATTGCTTAAAGTTTTTTTTCCTGCCTGAAGTTCTGTGTTTGCAAACTTTACCATGTAAATATCTCAAATCCCCTAATATGTCTTTTGTTCTGTAGGAAAAGGAGCTGGTCACTCTGAGGCCCAGTTTGTGGATAAGTTTGGATTCCACACAGCCACTTGCTGTGGTTACATCCCACAGGTATGGTCTGTTCCACAGCTGGGAAAGGCACTTGGAGAGGTCTGGAAACTCCTCAGAGCTGAGCTTGCTCCTTTTGTCTGCAGCTTTCTGACCAAAGTTTGCTTTCCCTGTTCCATCCCTGCTCCCTGGTGCTGTCTGTGGCCAGCAGGCACGGTGGGTGTAGTGAGGATTTGGAATGAAGCTGTGGTTCTTTAGCTTGGTGATATTTAAAAAAAGTCCCTTCATATACATATCTTGGTTTTATTAACCCCTACTACATGGATCTTGGAGAGCCTCAACATGTAACAGCTCATGAGACATTGGAAAAGGCTCTTGGAGAGAAAAGGGCTCTTGGAGATAATTGCACCATTTTTTGGCTCTGCACCTCTCAGGATTTCATTCTACAACTGAATGAACCTTCAGTATCTCAAACTCTTTGCTAAGTACAGCTTTTCATCAAATTAAAATGTATTACCCAGTAAAAATAAATTAATTCTTCTACATTTCCAGAAAGATTTGAAACAGGATATTGAACGACTGAAATGATCTCACTAGAAACTCTCCCTCTAAAATACATTTAAAAATGAGAATGAATGAAAACAGCCAGAATCTCAACTTACATTAAAGAGAGCCCCACCAAAGTGTGGTTGGGAGCAGCAGTCCCAAAACAAAACATCTGATGTTGCTGTGCATTGGTCACACTGACATTGTCCAGGCCATTGTGTCAGCTCTGAATGCTTTAACTGGATCTCTCTTATTGACACTGAGTGAATGTGTGTTAAAATAATTGTGTGTTAAAATAATTGTGTGTGACCAAGCTGTGCTGTGTTTGCAGGTGAATGAGTGGCAGAGTGACTGGCCATCCTTCTTTATCCGCCACCGGCTCCAGGCTCAGCTGGATTTGATTGAAAAGGATTATGGAGACAGAGAAGCCAGAGAGCTCTGGTCACAGCTGAAAGTATGAACCATGTTTTAAATCTGTTTCCTAGAATGTCAGAAAATGTGTATCAGTGGGATTGTAAAGGTGTTTTTTTAAGGGATTTACCCAGCTTGGAATGAAGAGCAGGGTCTGGATGAGCTTCACAGAGGGTCCAGCAACACTGTCAGCTGAATGGAGTTCCTGTTACTCTTTTAATTTTGTAGATAGTGGAAAAAACCCTGCAATTCAGCATTAACATTTATATCTGAGAATACAGCTAGTAATAATAAGTGTATGGTAAATCCTAAGAGCTTGGTGTTACGAGGTGGTTGAAATTCTGCTGCCTGGACAGATTTGTATTTTACCTGGCCCAGGCTGAGGCTGGTTCAGGCCGTGTTCCATGCAGCACTCAGGGAGCACCAGGGATGTTCCCCCTCTCTTCTGTCCATTGGTCCAGATGCTTACTGCAGTTCTTTTTGCCATTGAAACTTTTTAGTTTAAATGAATTTATTTTTTATTTCTCATGACAGCCAACAGTATCCATGTCTAGAAACAATACATCAGTACCAAGTGCTGATACCAGACTGTGAATTAAATGCTTTGCTGAGCTCTGTCAAGAACAATCCAGAACGTTTATCACTGGCTTGTTCTTGTTGACATCAGTGTCCATGAGGGCTGAACACAGGCAGCATTTGGCCACCTCAGGCTCTAACATGCTGCAGTACTTAATTTTATTTATTATTTTCTTCAAAACTCCTAATTGTTAATGTCTGTTTATGCTTTTTCAGCCAAAAATTCCTGAAATGTTCTGTGATGTGGAAATTGTTCCTGCTCTCCTGCATGGGGACCTGTGGGCAGGCAATGTGGCTGAGGACGACTCTGGGCCGATCATATTTGACCCTGCCTGCTTCTATGGCCACTCAGAGTTTGAGCTGGCCATTGCTGGCATGTTTGGGGGCTTCAGCAGCTCTTTTTTCTCTGCCTATCACAGTAAAATACCCAAAGCTCCAGGGTTTGAGAAACGGAACAAGTTGTATCAGCTCTTTAATTACATCAACCACTGGAACCATTTTGGGACAGGGTACAGGGGCTCTACCCTAAACATGATGAGGAAACTTCTGAAGTAACCAGGTAATCTGAGAAATTCTGACACAGTCCCCTAGGAATGAGCAGCCCCTGCTCATCCCAAGTACCACAAACTCAGAATTGGTGGTAAAACACCTGATATGGGGAAGGTTTAATGCACTTTGAGCCTCACTAACTAAAAGCAATTGTGTAATCTTTAACTTGGGCACTGGTTTCCCTGCACAGATTCCTCCCTGCTGGAGGAAAGGGCTGCACTGTTTGTCAAGGCTCCAGTGGCCTGGAAAGCAGCACAGCCAGCCTGCCCTTGCTGCTCTCTCACCTCTGTGCTGTGCTCCCACAGCAGCATCTTCCCAGCCCTGCTCCAGCTGCAGTTTGGTGTGTGGAGCTGCACTTGTGGGACAGTGCTGCTGGAAGCAAGTTCTTGTGTCTGCCCTTGTTAGTTCTGGGTTAGTTTTCTTTCTGTTCCCCCTCCTTTCTCCATGGTCTTCTGTTTCCCTTCCCTTCCCTTCCCTTCCCTTCCCTTCCCTTCCCTTCCCTTCCCTTCCCCCTGTCAAATGTCCTAATCCAAAATTTCAGTCAGGTTCTGTGAATCTGAAAACATTCTCTGTTTAATTTAATGAGCAGACAAGGCCCTTTGGCTGCATTTGGCAAACAGATGTAATTAATAATATTTCTAATATTTATTTTAATTTAATGTAATTTACTCACATTCATTTTTCCCTTGCTAGAAGAACTGAAATTCCAGTGGTATTTTCTAGAAGGATATTTAGTTCCTCGGTAATTAACTGTACAGTCAGAAGTAGGTTGTTACCACTCAAAGTTGATAAGAGGATTTCATAATTTTAGTGTGATATTTGTGTGTTGTACTACAATAGTAACATATTTAAATAATTTTGTAAAAACACAGCAAAATGTGGGAGGGAGGTGGCTGGGTGAGAGGAAGCACCTGTGGCTGCTGGGTTGGTTGGTGCTTGATGTCTTTTCAATTTTAGAAAATGAGTGCAGTGGGCAAAGCTGGTCTGTTGTGCCACCACTGGGTTATGGAAGGAATATCAAAAAGTCAAATCTGATGGATTTGTCAGGGGTTTTATTGTTCCTTACTGCTTTATTTTTACAGAAAACACAGGCAGTGGGAATTTGGGGAGAAAAGTGTTCAGCAAAGACACTGGTGCACAATCTGAGCTAGGGTACATGAGTGACTCTGGGGGATTTTAGGGAAAGTAGCAAGAAGAACAAAAGTAAGTGAAGTCCCATAAATATGAATTAGAAGATTTGGGTAAGAATGACCTGAGTATTCACACTTCAGATGGTTGGCATGACTAATACTAAAATATTATATTCAAAATTGCTCAGATGTATTTAGACTTTCCTTAACTTTAAATGGTTGTGCTATAAAGATTTAATTAAGTTTAAAATTTGATGTTGTAATTGGTTTTAAACAATGCACTTTGCTCTCTGTAAATATGATACAAATAGTGAAAAATTTTTGCTTCCTTTGAATCAGGGGAATCTGTCACGGTTGGTTATAAAACTTAACAGAACTAAAAGAGTGGAAAAGTGGAACAGTGGAGTTTGGGGTTGTAGTGATGGCTGGAAGATCCGGGTCTGATCAAAGTGCACTGGTGTTTATGGATATGAACAAACCAACCTGTATCGCACTGGGAACTACTTGTGAACTTAAATTTCTTCTCAAATAAAACACTTGCCTTGCAGAAACCCTGTTCAATGTACATCTGGTTTGTGGCTGTGATTTGATGGAATGAGTTTGAGCCTGAAATAAAATATTTGGGTGTGGATGGAGCTGGTGGATAGCAGGAAAGAGCAACTGACCTGTTGTGACATCCTTGAATTTGCTGTAGAATCAGTGGGGCTGTGGGGTTCCAGTGTTGCTTCCAGAGCTGTGTGAGGTTTGGATGGTGTGCTGTGATATTCACCATGCAGTGCAGGGTCTGCTGTGGGCTGGGTAAAGAATGGACCTCATGGATGTCCCCATCCTTGTCCTTTGCCCCTGGGGTCCCTGTGCCCAGGTCCCCATCCCTGTTCCCTCACCTGAGGCTCCCTATCTCCATCCTCACCCAGTGCTTGGGTGCCCATGCCTGTGTCCCCATCCCTGTCCCATCTCCAGGACCCCATAGCTGGTGTCCCCAGGGTTGATGTCCCCATTTCCAACCTAGATGTTCCCATCCCTGGTGGGTGTCCCTAGGGTTGTGTCCCCATTCCCCTGGTGAGTGTCTCCATCCTCAGTAGGTCTTGTTTCCACTGGGTGTCCCTTGGCTGGATGTCCCCATGTCTAGTGGGTATTCCTGTCCCCAGGGTGGGTGTCCCCAGGGTGAGTGTCACCATCCATCCCCCGGGTGTGTGTCCCCAAGCTGGATGTCCCCATCCCCAGTAGGGGTTGGTGTATCCAATGGGTGCCCCCAGGGTGGGTTTCACCATCCCCAGTGGGTATTCCCAAACTGTCCCCACCCCCAGTGGGTGTCTCTAGGGTGGGTGTCCCCATCCCCAGTAGGTGTTCCCGTCTCTGGTGGGTGTCCCCATGATGGGTGTCACCGTCCCCGGTGGGTGTCCCCAAGTTGAATGTCCCCGCCCTCGGAGGGTGTCCCTAGGGTGGGTGTCCCCATCCCCATCCCCAGTAGGTGTTCCTGTCTCCGATGGGTGTCCCCAAAGTGGGCGTCACCATCCCGGGTGGGTGTCGCCTAGCTGGATGTCCCTATCCCCAGTAGGGGTTGCTGTATCCAGTGGGTGTCCCCAGGGTGTGTGTCCCCACCCCCAGTGTGTGTCCCCAGGGCGTGTCCCCTCATCTCCCCCCGCCCCGCGGAGGGGCCGGGCCGGCGCTCGTAGGCGGTGCCGCTGCCTTTGGTCCCTCCTGGCGGCCCGTAGCTGGGCGGCGGCGGCGGCGGCGCGGGGCGGGCCCGGGGCGGCAGCGGTGCTTGTCCCGCGTGTTCGCTTGTCTCGGTTATCGCTCGTCCCGGTTATCGCTCATCCCCGGTTATCGCCTGTCCCGGGTGGTCGCAGCGCCGGGCCGGAGGGGCGAGGCCGGCGGCTCCGGGAGCCCCGCGGTGCCGGTAGGGCCGGGCGGGGCCGCGGGAGGGGCGCGGTGGGCGCATGGCGGGGCCGGGCGGGGTGAGCGGGGCGGCGGGACCGGCCCTGCCGCGCCCGGAGCGGGGCGGAACCGACCCTTCCTCTGTCCCTGGCAGCCATGGACGGAGCGGGGCGGGAGGCGGAGGAGGGCGAGGAGCCGGCTGCCATCAGCGCCAGGAACATCCTGGACAGCTTCACCGAGAGCCGCGAGGTCGCGGAGCTCATCGGGAACCTGCGGGAGGTGTTCGCGGAGCTGGTGACGAGGGAAATGGCCGTGGAACGGTTCATAGGTAAGCGCGGCAGCCAAAGGGAGGGGTCCTGATGTTACGTGACACGAACGTTTCATTATGTGTGATTCATTTCGTTATTGCTGAATACTAAAAAGGGACCAAACCGCTAATTTTTGGGTCAGTGATAATGCTGGAACTTTATCAACAGGTAATTCAGATGTGGTTTTTTGCTCATTTTGTTTTCCATATAGATATTCTTTTATTACCTGGCATTTAACTACTGTAAATGAAAACTTAGGTCTTAGATTCCAGAAATCTCAATTCTAACTCCTGCTGGGCCTTCAGTTCCCTGTTCAAATCCAGGCCATAATTTAGTTGAAAGTTTGTATATCTGTCAAATAAAGCAACTCTGTTGCTCATTGAAACACACCCATTTTGTGCTTTAAAGTGTCAATTTCCTAATTACCTTTTCATTTCATGGGAAATGTGAAGAGTGGCTGCACCCATACAGATGATGTTTGTTTCTCCAAGTGGAGGTAACTTGGTTTGACTTTTGTGCCACCTAAGGAAAGCTCTCCTGTCCTTGGGCTTCAGCTGAATGTGGAAGGGCCACAGTGAGGTGCATGTAGCAATGTCCTGGGTCACCAGCCTGTTTCAAGGCACATCTGTGTGTTAGGTTAATATTTTGATAAGATGATTTGCAAACGTTCATTCAGTGCTTTATGTATTTGCAAACTGAATTTAGCAGAGTGGCATTTTGCAAGGATTTTTGTGAAGGATGGAGAAATTGCAAAACTCACAGTCAAAATATTGACCCAGCAGCTTTGTTTTTGACAATAAGAAATGATATGGGCAAACAATAAAGCAGAACCCCCCAAATTTGGAGATCTGAGCCTGCAGAAGTTTCTCAGTAGCATTATTGTGGTTGGCTGAACTGACTTCCATCTGAATGATGGACATGAGACTGCTCAGACAGAAGGAACTCTCATTGCTGAGGTTGTTCAGCATCACAGAGGAAATGTCAGATGTCAGTGGGACAGGAAAAACCATTGCTGGAAAAATCACCTTGCTATGCCTCTCTGTCACATCACATGTTTCTTTGCATTTAAATTCTATTTATGAGCTTTCTGCCTGTGTATCATTGCCCAGTAAATACAAGCTCAATATACTTAAAAAGATGTTGTGGTTCAGTGTTGGGTTATAATATTTTGTGTGCTCAGGTGTCATTGATCCTTCTGGGACAAAGGGTCCCAAACCTGCCAAGAGGCTCAGTGTGAGTTAGAACACTGACATTTAGGGAATAGCTTTTATCTGGGAGCAGGGAATGCAGTGATCACCTGTTCCAGAGAGTTTCAATGAAAGTTTCCAAAGAATTCAGAAAAACTCATAATGCTCATTTTGTGATGAACCATGAGAAACAGAAGTTTGAGAAACACTTTAATCTGCAACTACAATTTTGTAGGAAAATACAGGAAGATCTTTTTTGAAATGATAGTTTTAGAGCTTCTGGTTTAGGTTCATTCTCTTCAGCTTTTATATTTGGGGTTTTATTTTATCTTTAGCAGTCTGTGACCTGGGAAAAGAATTTGCTCCTCAATTCCACTTTTTGTGTGCACTGGTTCTGCTGTTTGTATCAGCATTAATTCAGGTGGGAAGTCAGGGATGATGAGGAGCTGAAATTTCCCTCTGGATGCTGTTTGGTGTCCCAGTGGAATTGCACAAGGATGCTGGTGGATGCTTTGGTGTCTGAAAGTGGTGGTGCAGTGTCATCCACTGGTCAACTGCAGCACTATTGGCCTTGAGTCATGTCTTCAGTGTAAATGTTGGTGTGTCGAGCAGAGAAAAAGGACAGAGAGCAAAGTGGTTTGTGAGAGAAACAAATACAGAAAAGGGCAGCTTAAGGAGGTTTTGGTTTTCTAATTCAAAAGCTGTTTCCTGACCAAATAGCCAAAGTGAGCCAGGCAATCTCCAGTGCCACACTGGATCACTCAAAGATCTTCTTGGGAATCCAGCTTTTATTTCTGTAG